ACTCATATACTACTGTGTTTCCCCAAAAATAAAACATCCTCCAAAAATAAGACCTACTTACAGGTTTCTTTCTGAGTGAAATATAAGGCATCCCCCGAAAATAAGTCCCCCTCCCCCCAGGCTCTGTCCAAGAATGCTATTGCTAAACATGAGAGATTTGGTCTACTGATTCTGAAAGAAATGGAGTCACAAGAAATTCACCAGGAAATTCAGGAATTGGATTGTTATGATGATGTTCCAGAAGATGATGACATGATTGTCATTGAATAAATGAGTAAATTCTTGATACTGTAGGATTCATAGTTTGTCTGGTTTGTGTTGACAACTACCGTACTACCGTACCATATACAGGTAATAAATTTCCTTTATGTTCATTTAACAATAAATGTGTACTGTATTCTTCTTCATGGAAAAATAAGACATCCCCTGAAAATAAAACCTAATGCATCTTTGGGAGCAAAAATTAATATAAGACACTGTCTTATTTTCGGGGAAACAGGGTAGTACTATGTTATAATGTTTTTACTAAGATTATGCCCAGCCCAGTTAATCCCTTAAACCAAATGTTGCTTGTAGTCTTCCTGTTATTGGGTGCTTTTAAAAAAAAGTTTTTACTGATTTGAGAGAGGAAGGGAGAGGGAAAGAAAGAAAAACATCAGTCAGTTGCATCCTGCACACACCCCAACCAGGTATCAAACCCACAACCTGGGCATGTGCCAAGATGGGAAATTGAACCAGCCACCTTTTGGTGTGTGGGATAATGCTCAACCAAATGGGCCACACCAGCCAGGGCCTGTGATTAAATATTTATGCCACAGCTGCTCTGCCTCTCTGAGCACTCATTACTTGTCAGCCCCGCTGATGGAGGCTCCCTTCATCCAGGAATATTTGGGTTTTCTTTCTCCTCTAATGGACCTCTAAGCAATCTTACCCTCTTCCTCGTGGTTCATTCTGAGCCTCAGCTGTCAGGCATCAAGGGACTTATTAAGTACTGGGATGCAAATGACACGACCACAGTCCTGGCTTCATAAAGTATATCGATGAGTGGGTGATAAAAAAAAAAAAAAAAAAAAGGTAAAGAAAGGCTCTCCAACTGGAGAAGTAGAAACATGTAGCAGTCCTGAATATAAGCCCAGGGGATCATTAGGAGGGTGGCTTCAAGGCACCGATAAACTTCATAAAACTATATGCAAAGTTGTTTGTTTAGCCATGTTCAGGGTGATAGGATCTCTGGCTTTCATTAGATTATCACAGAGGTCCTTGACTCAAAAAAGTTTAAGCTCAACTGGTCTAATGATAGGTTTTTGATGTAACATTGGAGATGATGCCATTTTGGTGAAGAATTAGGGCTTAAATAAGACATAGATTTGGGAGCCTTCTCTGCACAGAGGCAAGAGCTGGGTCAACACTTCTCAAAGCCTAACAATCTCAGCCACAGGCACAGGACTGGGCACACATGGAGGCAGGAGGAGGGGGTCTCTCACTTTCCCCCAACCCCTCAGCCCCACAATAATGCCACAAACTGCATGTACTCGCAGCTCCCAGTGTGAGAAGTATGGAGTCAGGCTGTCCTGGGAATGCCAGAGGTCCTCAAAGCAGCCCGTATAGACTAAGATCAACTCCAGGGACCCTCCTGGTCAAATCCAGTCTGGAAAAAGAAAGACTTACTGCCAACACTGAGAATTCAGGGATTCTATGAAATGATAGGGATTTGTGACTTTTCTTACAACTCTCAGGACCTGATAAGGCTGGCCCCGTGTCCCCAGCACCATCGCATGGACTGGCACCTCCCTGGGGGGCCTTAGTTCTTCAGTTCCCATCCCCATGCCTTACACTTAGCTCTGTCCTCTTTAATGGTAACTGCCCGCCCTCCACACCTGAAACTCCGGTGTTCCCAAAGGCGAGCGGAGGAAAAATAGAAAACCTCTGGAAAGAGCTGTGTGCCAAGCAGAAGTTATATAGGAAGAAAGAGGGGAAGAAGAAAAACAGAAAGGAAACATAGTCCCTTAATGTGAAATCTTCTACTTTATGTTGCCTACTGAGATGGCTCTGTATACAAAAACCATCCAAGTTGATGCCATTTGGATTGCAAGAAAGCTCTTCTCATCCCATCCTTGGCCAGAATAAAATCATTACTATTGAAATAATGGGACCATGGGGGCAGGGGGCAGGTGGGAACCACGGTGTCCTAACGTTTATGAATCATATTGTATCTGCTTAATAACATCAGAAGGGCCATAAAAACTCCTTCCTACAATTAAATATCTCCATCAACTATAAACAGATTAAGCATTTTATAAGTGATGGTACATTAAAAAGAGATCATTGATATGTGATTCTATTTTGTACATCAGAGATGCATGTGAATTAATGATTCATGATCACCACTCTATTTTCTAGTCTTTTAAAAATGCCTATTCATCATCTGTTAATGTTGCCCTAAGCTCATAAGATAGCAGCCACGTTTTTGCTTTAGTGCGTTAAATACACAGAGACAGCATGCTTTCCGGGCACCCGCAGCTCTGCACTATAGTTACTTCTTTTCCTCTGTCACTAACACCACCGTCACAACCTCATTCATTCCCTTACTTATCAAGGTCAGAGGTCAGCCTTCCTGTATGTCCTGGAGGAAGCAACATTTGGCCAAAAATATGAATCTCACGGCTTGTCAGCCAATCACTTGAACTTCATTCCTTCAAAAATCTGAGCGCCAAGGGGTCTTTAAGCACTCCACATTCATTTGTTGTAATCATGGTAAAACACACCTGACATAAAATTTTCTGTCTTAACTACTTTTACGTGTATAGTTCAGCAGTGTTAAGTGTATTTATGTTATTGTGCAACCAATTTTCATAACGGTTTTCATTTTTCAAAGCTGAAACTCTATACTCTTTAAATAACAACTCCCCATTCCTCCCTCACCCCACCCCCTGGCAACCACCATTGTACTATCTGTCTTTGTGCATTTGGCTATTTTAGATACCTCAAATCATAGTTTTGTCTTATGGTGACTGATGTATTTTACTTAGCATAATGTTTCCAATATTCATCCATGTTGCAGTGTCAGAATTCCCTTCCTTTTAGAAGACTGAATAGTATGTACCACATGATGTTCCCACCTATAGTGCACAAGTTTCCAATTTCTCCACATCCTTGCCAACACTTGTTCTTTTCTGTTGTTGTTGTTGTTAACAGTAACCATCCAAATGGATGTGAAGTAGTATCTCACCCATTAATTTTTAAATATCCCAAGGGTTATGCTTTGGTTCTCAGACGACACCTTAGTGATGAATCTGCTTTATTATTTGTACAGAGTCAAGAGTGTGGCCCTGTAGCATCGCACGAAGACACTGAATATCTAGGTTGGGATAGGAGTGAGCCATGGAGTCATCTTTGGCTGAGTAAATTATTGGCCCAAAAAGGCTGCCTTTCTTATTATACAGATTTGCCCATAGGTGGTTCTACTCTAATGCAGTTTTTAAGCTTTCAATTTGAGCAGGAAAATAGAAGAACACTAGAAGCCGGTGCACAAAATTCGTACATGGCAGAGAGAGGGGTCCCTTAGTCGGCCTGCACTCTCTCGCAAACTGGGACCTAACCGTTCACCTACCTGCCTGTCTGATCACCCCCTAACCACTTGCCTGCCTGATATCCCCTAACCCCTCTGCCTGCCTGCCTGATCACCCCTAACCACCTCTGCCTCAGCGCTTCATCCAGAAGGACATCTGAAATAATGTTCAGGACATCATCCAGCTATCCAGTCTAATTAGCATATTATGCTTTTATTATTATAGATGGGGTGTGGATGGGGATGCTGGGATGGGGGGTCCTGTATATCTCAAAATCTAACTCTTATTGATTAAAAGTCTGTAAACTAAGAAAGAACTTCATGGCTACCTGTAAAGTGTTCTCACTGCTCTTCCACTATTCCTTCTTGCGATCCCTCTTTAACCAACAGTGTCCTAAACCTAGGGCAAAGTAAGAACCCTTCTCGCCTCTCCTCTAAAGTAAGACAGAATCATGAAGGTTTAAGTCAGTTTGGCCTCAATTAGAAATCACAAACAGTACTGAACTATAATTCAAGTATCATCTTAATTGAAAAGTCAGGGCACCTGTGGCTGGCTGAATAATGATGCCTCCCCTCCCCCCCCAAAAAAAATTACTTTATATGGGGAAAGGTACTTGGCTTATGTAATTAAGGATCTTGATATGGGGAGATTATCCTGGAGTATTCGTGTGCACCCCAAATGTCACCATAAGGGTAGGTAAGGAAATCAAAGAAAGAAGGCCATGTGAAGAAGGAAGAGGGGGGAAGGGGTGTGATGCAGTCATGAGCCAGAATGAAGACAATCTCTACAAGCTGGAAAAGGCAAGGAAGTGGATTCTCCCCTTGCCTCCAGAAGGACCTCTCTCTGCAGACACCTGGAGCCCCATGACAACTGATATTCACTGTGATGATAACCAGAAGGGACCATAAAGAAAAACAGAAACAAGGTGGAAGCCAGTTCTGGGGAAAACCACCACCCTTTTCCCAGAAAGATCATGAATATCCACCCCCACCCCCTTATTTGCTTAGACCACCCCTTCATTTCTATCCTGTGGATACACAACTTCCCCTCTCCAAGCCAAAACCAGAACATGCTTCTGCTTCCCAATTCTCTGGCCATTGTCTTTTTTTTTTCATATGCCCACTTTTAATTATGCATGGAACCATTTAATAAAGCTTGTGCTGAACAGCAAAAGAGCCCCCTTTGGGGGTCTCAGAAAGGGGGATTCACACCCTGAGTAACACCAGCAATTCAGTCTTTCAGTTTAAGAAGCTGCCCTTGAAAACGGTAGCTAAAGGATCAAAATGCTGCCATGGTAGGACACCCAAAATTCCTAAAGCAGCATTTACACACCACTGCCCCATCCCCAGGCTGTCCCCTAGCCTCCTCCCCTGGCTCCTCTGTCCTCTGGGTTCTGGGACTCAAGGCCACCAGAGCGTGCCTGCCACAGACCTGATGGGGAGAGAAGGGTCTCCGGCGTCCCACCAGTCTTTCGGGGGGCTGATGTACATGCACCACAGCTCCCAGCTGTACCCGTGGGCGGAGTTCTCATACCGCTGCACCTCAAAGGTGTCCTGCTTGATGTTGTCGATGGATGGGAGGATCACCCGCTTCCGGTTCTCCTGGATTCGGGAGAGAACCGGCTCGGCCCTGAAACAGAGAAGTAGAAATAAAGTCTCTCTCCTGAGTAGCCCACACCTCCACGGGCACAGACCCCCGGGTGGCAGGAAATGAGCAGCAGCACTGGAGCTAAGGGATGGGCTCTGGCAGGCTGGAACTCGGGTGCAAACTGAGGCTCCCGAGTGGCCTGCCCCAGTTGGATGGTGCAGCTCTAAGTGAACACTGTGCCCTGCAGCTCAGGCCCTCGCCAAGTGGGATGCTGCCATGCTGATGTCTGCAGGAGAGGCCTGGAGCAAGAATTCAGAAAGTGCCAGCCTGTCTTTTATACCTGCCTAGTAGGCCAAAGCACGGCCATCTGACTCTATGATTTGCATCGCATTACAGTTTTACATAGCAGCTTCAGTTCCCCCCAGGGCACTGGTTGATGCCTCTTGTATTTTCTGCTGGAGCTGAATTTCCTTTCCTAAAATAGGTCGCTTCTGTCCTTGATGGCCTGGTTTTAATAAGCATTTCGCTAGCTTCTTTGTGTGTGTGTGTGTGATTATTTCAGTTGTTTTAATTGATTATTTAATTGATTTCTTAAAAGGGATCTAATTGAATTGGTTGGCAATGGCTGACCGGATGGATGAATTAAATGCAAACGCAGGCAGATTCCTGCATCCCAGAGAGCCTGCCCCTCAAGGCTGCACAGGGGAGATAGGGGGTGACCCGGCTCATTTTTTGTTCATTTGTTTTTTTGTTTTTAATTCTTTATTGTTTAAAGTATTACATATGTCCCCATTGATCTTTCCCTGCCAGCCCTTCCCCCCCTCCAGCACATGCCCTCACCCCCTAGTGTCTGTGTCCATTGGTTATGCTTATATCATGCATACAAGTCTTTTGGTTGACTTCTCTCTGCACCCCTCCCCTCCCTACACCTCCCCTGCCTTCCCTCTGAAGTTTGAAGGCTCAGGTTCTAGGTGTATCCCTGCTGGTTTGGGAGAAAGCAGATGGTAAGTCACCCTGCCAGTGTGCGTCTCCGTAGCAGACGCAGGCAGGGCTCCTTCCCCTCATTCGGGAAGAAGATGGCTCTCACAAGCCACACATTAATCTCCCTGCTTAACAGGGAGCACAGGCTCCGGAAAAGAGTCAAGCGAGATCCCATTCCTCTGCATTATTTGGAAGAATGATGAGAAAGCTCGGCCTACATCCCATCTCTTTTCATTTGCAGCTTCTGAATTACCTGCTGGCTCACCTCATCTTTCTATTTTAAATGAGCAATAAAATATATGCTGGGCCATTTCCTGCCTCCAGTACTCCTGCACACACCATCCAGGGTGAGGTGGAGACACGCTTCAGTTCTTTGTCCCCTCCTAGTCTTCTCTCACGCTGCTCTCCTCTGGGAATGCCCTTCTGCCACCGGCAGGGAGTCTGGCTACCTACTGAGGCTTATTAGATCATGTGCCGCCTCTTCCAAGAAGCCTTCCCTAATTTCCCCCAGTAGGAAGGCTCTCTCCTTTTTCTCAACTCTTAGACAACCTTCTCCACCTTATCCATGTCACTCTGATTACAGGCTGCCTTTGTTAATCTATGAACACATATTTTTCCTTATAAGCTCATGATAGTTCATATTTATTGATTACTCACTATGAGCCAGGCACCATTCTAAACACATCACATGTGCTGGCTAATTTAAATCTCACAAGAATCCCATTAAGTACATAGTATGGCCATCATTCTATAAATGAGGAAACCGAGGTCCAGGAGGTTAAGTCACTTGGCTCAGGCTGGTGGCAGAACCAGGCTTCTAACCCAGGTTGTCTGGCTTCGGCTCCAACCCTAAAACCCAACTGCCTCCTTCAATGGACCACACTTTCCCCAGGTTGTCTGCTGCAGCACACTGAGAAGCACTCAGCTCAGCCTCTCTCTGGATGGTTGACTGAGCATGGGGGCAGGAGACTGTGTTCAAAGAATGCTTGTGAAGAGAGCAGTTCCATATCCAGTCTGTGACAGTGTGCACCACTGTTCCCAGCAATTTGCTTCCCCTTCCAGAGGACACCCTGCCTCTTACCATGTGGCCCGCAGGGCCTCCCTGCAGAGGGCTGCACTCTCTCCCTCACCCGCAATCAATGTTTAGCTTGGACATGTGACTTGCTTTAACCCATGGGATGTGAGCAGAAGTGACAATGTCACCACAGAGCAGACACGTGCATCGTCATTGCAAGGTTTCTCTGAGCCACAGAAGTGGTGCCCTGTCCTAGACAGGAGTGAGTGCAGAGGACAGGTGGACAGAGCCACAGACAGCCCATGCTGGACCTGCCACATGGACAAGACAGAAATCTTTATTATCATCCGGAGGCCGAGAGGATTGCTACAGGACAACTTAGTGAATGTTGTGACACAGTGTCTGCCTATAACGAGGAATCACAAGGGACCTATGACAATGACAATGATGGACTAAGTAGACAACAGGTAAATTTCTCCCTGCTTCCCAGTTTTATCCCAGACTATGGTCTCACCCTCTTTTCCAACCACCCTTTTTCCATTCTTCCAGGGTCCCCAGAGGAACAAGGCACCCAACCTCCCAGACTTTAACCCATCCTGACCTCACTGCAGGTCCTGAGTACCCTTAGGGTTCAGCGTGTGACCTACCAGCCAGCAGTGAATTCCACGTGGGCATCAAAGAAGCCAGTGACCTGGCCGGTGGCCGCCTTCCAGCCCTCAATGCGTGCTCGGATCAGGCCCTCCCGTTTTTGGTTGCGCACCACCTTCACCAGCCCCGGGTAGCGTTTGTGGACGTACTCCTCTAAGGGGGCCTTCAGCTCCTCTGTAAATGACAAAACACAAGATGGTCCATGACATGTCATCTCAAATGTGCGTCCAACCCACTGAGATGCCGACAGACTTTCAGGAAATGAAGATAGCAGAAAAGTTTGCAAGTTGGTAATTTTAGTAGAAAATTGTTGACAACCCAGTCAGTGTGAGTCAGAAGACAACTGTGACATAGCAGCCCAGGACAGCAATGTTCTTCCAGCAGCTGAGCTGTACACCTGGACAGAAGTGAGGCCCAGCTTTCAGAATCCACTGTTGCAGCTGGCAGGTGTCCTCTGAGGTTTATTTTCTTTGTGGCCCACCGCCCTTCCCTGGCCAGCATTCCTGTCCTCTCACTGTCCCTTTATCAACTGCTATAAGGGCATTTCCTTCTGCATATACACTTTTTTTTTTTTTTTTAAATAGGAAATGCCCTAAGTGGCCCAGACACATAGTCATGCACCAGAGGCAATGTTAACAGGGTTGGTGCTTTGGTCTTAGGATGTAAAGGAAATTTTTGCCCAGTAATGAACATGCTGCCATGGGCAGAAGCAGTATTCACAGAGATTACACACATCTCCTTCTGCACGAGCAGGTAGTGTAAAGTGCTTTATTTCTATGACCTAATTTAAACCTTACAGCAACCCTAGGAAATTGCCATATTAATTCCACTAATTATTAACCTAGATTAATTTTACTTCACAAATTAAGAGACAGTCTCATGGATGCTAACCTGTCCCAAGGTTGCACACCTAGTAATGGAAGGTCTGAAACACAGGCCAAATGGGCCCAACTCCCCAGACTTGAAGGTTGATACTCTATGTACATAACAATCACCAAATGTAGGAGGCAAATGGAATTTTTGAAAAAGCTGGAAAAGCAATGCTTACCACAAGAGACAAAGAAGAATATTTTATATTTAACAGCCAAGATATGGAAGCAACTGAAGTATCCATTGACAGACAATTGAATAAAGATGTGGTACATGTACACAATGGGACACTACTCAGCCATGAAAAAGAATTAAATCTTACATTTGCAACAACATGGATGAACCTAGATGGCATTATGCTAAGTGAAATAAGTCAGACAGAGAAAGACAATTGCCATATAATTTTACTGATATGTGGAATCTGAAAAACAAAATAAATGAACAAACAAAATAGAAAAAGACTCATAGATACAGAGAAGAAACTGATGATTGCCAGATAAGAGAATGTTGAAAAAGATAAATAGATTAAGAAGTAAAAATTAGTAGTTACACTGTATCTTGGGGATGTAAAGTACAGCATAGGGTATATAGTCAATAATATTGTAAGAACTATGTGTGATGCCAGGTGGGTACTAGACTTACTGAAGAATCACTTCATAAATTATGTAAATGTCTAACCACTATGCTATACACCTGGAACTAATATAATATTGAATGCTAAATGTAATTGAAAAGTAAAACTATATAATTTCAAGCAAAATCAAAAAAAGGAGATTTTGGACACATAGACAGAGCCCCCAGGGACATGCACACAGAGGATAGACCACGTGAGGACACAGTGAGAAGGCAGCTACCTGCAAACCAAGAAGAGAGGCTTTAGGAGAAACCCTGCCGACACCTTGATCTTGGCTGGGCTTCCAGCTTCCTGAAATATGTGGAAATGAATTCTATTAAGACATCCAGTCTGTGGTACTTGGCTATGGCAGTCCTAGCAGACTAACACAGGTATTTGTTATGAAAGGAGAAAAAGCTGGAGCCTGGGTGGGGAGGTGGCAGACACCTCTAATGAAGCATAGCATGTGGTTGGGAGTCAGACTGCCTTGGTTTCAGAACCAAGTGCTAACATTTATTACCAGGGTGACCCTGGGCAATTCAGCCAGTCAATTTGTGCCTCAGTTTTCTCATTTACAGAAGGGGGACCTCATAGGGTTGTGGTGAGCATTAAATAAATTAAATACATAGATGTCTAGAATTATCCTTGGCATCTGGCATCACTTACATGCTAAACATTGAGTAGCCAGTCTTAATGATTATTTTCACTCTAGGAAGGGTTAGAACACAAGAACAGAGATTCCAGAGCAGCCCAGATCACCTGAGAAAGAAGTCCAAGATGAAAAAATAGGCCTATACGCTAGAATGGTGGTCTCAAACCAGAGGGCACATCAGCATTCCGGGAGTTGTTGGTACAGATTGCTGACCCCTCCCTCACAGCTTCATTTTTAAAGGTCTAGGGTGGAGCCTGAGTGTTTCTGTTTCTAAGTGGATCCAGGAGTGTTCATGCTTTCTATGGGAACCACTTTGAGAATCACTGAGCTGGAAGTCATAGGACCATCTTGGGCACACAGCACGCCCTCTGTGGGTTTTCTAGGTGGGTGACATCTTTGCCCTCATCCAAGAGTTTGTTAAGGATGCTGGTGGAGAAGCCAGGCTGTGGGGACCCTCTGTTTCTTCACTTACCATGAATTGAAAGGATGACCAAATAACCATGAATTGAAAGGATAACCAAAGAATGCCCAGATTCTAGAAACCATCTACTACAAGTTGGCTGGCTTTTTCTGTGTTAAATTTCTTGAAACGGTAATGCTAGCAAGAAGGTTAGGAGGCCATACCTAACTCGTTTTTTTTTCCTTTCTCTCTCCCCCCCCCCCCCCCCCCACCATGTGCACTGGAGACAAAAGGACAAGCTGTAGAAGGAGGCAAGGAACCATGCATGGGCACAGCACTCATGGAAGGATTTGCCCATTTGCCCTTACGGGCATCTCCATAAGTTCAACGAGAACATTCTGAATGCTGAGCACTGAACACCACGCCTGGGGACCCACATCTGTGAACCATTAGTTGCCAAGTGACCTGGGACTGAGTTTTGGCTCTGCCAGTAACTGGATGTCAGCTGTTAGCCATGACAGTCACCGTGTCCAAGTGTCAAGTGTTCTCCTCATTGGTTTAGTGGTTGTGACTGAGACATCAGGAGAGAGAGCGAGAGGCAAGCCTTTACAAGTTTGTCAAAAGAGAAAGTGGGTGACACCAGCTTCACCCTGACCTGCTTCAGATATACATTGTTCCACATGCAACTGAAGGGATGATCTATGGGATTCTGAGGGAGATGTCACCCTGTTGGAAGCCACCCGTTGTCTTCACTAGCAGAGAGGTGTGGACAAGGAATCCGGAAGACTAGTCAACCTTGGAAGCTCTGAGAGGTCAGAGCCCACCGCTCTCTGTTTAGTTAAGACAGTGGTAGCTAAAGCAACTCCCACATTTTAATCTTATGTAAATCCTTGCTGATTTGGCTATTACTGGCTATGGGTGGGTCCTGAACTTTAATAAAAGGGATATCAAGGCCAGAGCAGGGTGTAGTCCTCCCCTTGAGATGGGCTTCTACCTGGCCTCCAATATCGCCAAATTAATATTTTCTAATCTCTTTCATTTGTGTGTGGCCACCTCCCGAACTCGAACCCTGAACCTGAACCCTGAACCATGTAGGTCGTGGGGGGACACATGCAACTGGAGCCCAATCGTGGGTTCCTACAAACTGGCATCCCCACTTGGGACGTGAAAGGGATTTTCTACATCACCCTGACACTGGCAGGGCTCAAAAACAAGTGACAGTGAGCAGGCTTTTCTTCCCAGCCCCTGCATGTGACTCAGCACCCCATAAGGTATTGGGTTGGGCCCCTGCCCATACTTAACATCAACTCTGACACAAGTGCTCCGTCAAGATGCTTACAATGTAGTGCAGGAGGGAGACAAGTTCAAAGAGTTGGAATATTCAGTTTTACAAGGGAAACAGAGCAAAGGTCAAAGGGGGAAAATGGCTGTTGGAAGGAAAGTGCAATGACGGGTCACAGAAGGAGAAATTATTTTGGTGTTCATGGAGAAGGTAGTCTGAGTTAAGCAGAGATTTGAACATGTGCTCTCACTATTCCGATCATAGACATAATCAAAAGACATGAGCATTGAATTGGATCTATGGAATCACCAGTGTCTGGGTGATTGGGCAGATGCCATTAAATTAGAAAAGAGGGGAAAAAAGAAAAGTGGAAAAACAAGTTGAGTTCACCTGGGTGAAGCCCCGCAGACATTCAGGGGTGGTCTGTTGAATGAAAAGAATGGTCCAGAGGAGCCAAAACTGGTTTGGCTCAGTGGATAGAATGTTGGCCTGCGGACTGAAAGATCCCTGATTCAATTCCGGTCAAGGGCATGTACCTTGGTTGCGGGCACAACCCTAGTAGGGGGTGTGCAAGAGACAGCTGATCAATGTCTCTCTCATCGATGTTTCTAACTCTCTATCCCTTTCTCTTCCTCTCTGTAAAAAAAATCAATAAAATATATTATAAAAAAAAAAAAAAAGAATGGTTCAGAGGTGCGGAGGAAAGGCTCAGAGCATCGGGGACACAGATGAGAGATGTCGGCCCATAAGAGGGTGAGAGTTCCAGGAGAGAGTGAAGAAGACTAGAACTGTACTCTGGAAACATGTATACTGAGGAGACAGGAAGACAAGCTAGAGAATCAGATGGGCTAGAAACAGCATCAAAGAGGCGGAATCATATCAAGGGTAGAGTTTACAAAAGGAAGATATATGCATTCATTTCACAAATATGTACAGAGAGGCCATATGGCTGAAAAATGACACCATTTTTATCCTCAGAGTCACACCACGTCCAATGTCAGGAAAATCAAAATGCATTAGAGAAAATGAGAGTTGAGATGGACCACTGATTTAAGCAAATAGCAGGTTCCTAATGGGACCAGTGAGAAAAAAAGAATTCCCTTCAGGATGCATCTGGGCCCTGTGGGAGAAGAGGATGAGTAGACAGCTCAGGCGAGTCTTCCAGAAAGACTGGTCCTGATGGACAGGACGGTGACAGCCTGAGGGCATTGGTGTGCTGAGATTTGAAAATTGCCTTAAAGTGAGAGAACCCACCCGTTAACCAAGTAAAAACAAGGCCCCAGGCTCACCAGGGAAGGAAACAAATCCCCAAATGTCACACTTAACAAATGAGCCCATTCTAAGACATTACAGTAAC